AAGCCCTGCCACAATCACTCTGTTCCACTGTACTCTTAAACAACTCAACAGGACATGAGGAAATGGCCTCRAGRTGTRCCAGGGGAGGTTCAGMTTGGATASTAGGAARAATTTCWTCASTGAAGGGGTTGCCAAGCATTGGAACAGGCTACCCAGGGAAGTGGTTCAATCAYCATCCCTGGAGGTATTTAAAAGATGTGAAGATGTGGYATTTGAGGACATGGTTTAGTGGTTGGGTTAATGGCTGGCCTTAGATCTTAAGAGTTCTTTTCCAACCTAAATGATTTTCTGATTCTAATTATGTTCAAAGATCTTTATACTTCCTTATGTTCTAAAGCCTACATTTCCAATATATTCTGTCTGACCAGTGGTCTCTTTTCTCTCTTTAATGTATCCTGTTTCTCAACAGGGCACCCAAGAGCCCTGTATTTCAACAACAAWTCTTCCAAAGTACAAATATTTCTCTCTACACTACTTACCCCAACGCTTTCCAACTTCTTGCATTCAAAGCTCTCTACCTCTAATTCTTTAACTCATCCAACTCCCTCACCTCAAAACCTTTTCACAAATTAAGTCTCATCCCTCTAATGAAGATTTTACACTACACCCTTATCTCTCCTGTTCAGGGATTTCCCCTTATTTTTTCTCCTGTTGTTCAGTTTTTTATTGTGCCTTCCCAAACACYCTTCATCCATTAAGCTCTCCTGCCCACTGAACACCAGTTGTTGCCCACCAACTACCCACTCTATCTAATGAAGTCTGYTCTTCTCATCTGCCTCTCCCCACATAAGAAAAGCTCAGTTCCTACTCTGGAAGGTTTTTCATAAGAAYCAGACACATGCTGGAGATATAAAAATTCTCTTYGGGMTACTTCAAGAGCAGAAGGACAAAGRCATGTCTGGGAAAGTACATACCCTGTGGGTAGATCTCTATATGATGGCTAAATTGAATAATAATGGMAAAGTTTTAATGAAATGCTCTTAAGATCAAGTTATATAATACCTATTTAGTCTATATTAAGCAATTTTAAAACATCCACAAAAGAAAATTCAATTAAACATAAAAACGAGAAAAAAATTGCAGAACATAAAATGAAATGAGACTCAGACTCAGCATATGTTCCTTTTCAACACTGCAAAGCATTTGAGCACTGTTCAGACAGYACTGGTGGTGAGCATTCTAGGAGTCTGCTTCCACCTGGTGGAAAGAAGACAGAGGTCATGCATTACACATAACTTACGAAGCTTCAGTTTGCAGGGAGTTCAGAAATCTTCCTTGTTCCAGATTTAGCCTGTACACTTCAGAACTACAAAAGAAAAACCYGGAATTACTCTTGTCTCTTACAAATACTGAAAAACACTGCTGTAAGTTCAGAGGCATTGTAAAGATTTTTATTCACGGACTAATTTTGTCAAATACATAATTTTCTGAATTCACAGTCTACAAGACAAACCTATACTTCAGTGTTCAAAATGCAGAGAAAAATGTGCATGTTCACCATTTATCACACTTCAATATCCTACCAATTACTATTTTTCCATGGAAAAGTTACATTAACACATTTTTCAAGATCTTTTAATTTCCTGTGATTTAAGTYTGAATTTCTACTTCTTTTGTTTGAAATCCTAAGGATCTAATTTTRGATTTACTATGTCTTTTCAGAAACCAAATTATGTGATAACTCACATTTACAGCAATAAAGTACCAACCACAATAGAAAAAGTTATATCATTTTCCTTACTTAAATGCTAAACACCTTTTAAACACTAAACTGACCTGTAATTTTTAATACGAATTTGCAAATACATGACGCACATGGATTAAGAATCAAAGAAAAGAAGACTTTAAAACAGCCCAGGAATCTGAATTAATTTTTTATCTTTCCACCTTTTCCACTCTTCTCAGTCTCTATTACTAATTTGCAAGGAATTACYACTTCTTCCACTTTTTAACTTTTCTAGTATTTTAATGTTCATTTYATTCTTGRAAAACACTGTTACCAAAACTGAAASARAATATTCCACTTAATACCTTGCTCCTACAAAATACAGGTCACATGATGGATAGTGATAGGAGAAATCTCTACCAAATTTTGGTATTCTTGTCTTGTAGTAATGGCCRTGTTGGGAATGAAATTCCACAAATCTGCCACACTGCAAGAAGACAATCTGAAAATAAAATAGAAAGCACTGAAACATACAGAAATAGACAACCATCTCCCCCAACTTGTCTTACAGCACAAACTTCAGTGATTTTTTTCCAAGCTCGCACAGATTTATCACAACTTATTTAAACAACTTCTACTAAAATGATAGAATCAACTAGTGCTTCATCCTTCTCACCAGCCACAGTGAAGTTTTGATAATATACATCATATGAACATCATAGGAGCAGCTGTGAAAAGTGACACTGCAATGAGAAGCAGCATGGTTATCTCGTGTTCTGCTGCACCCAAATCAATGTCTGCACTTCCTTCAAGACACTAGAGTTAGTAATTTCTTCCAGGTACAAAGCTGTGTTCACTGTACTAAGCACATGAGCTACAAATCCTGATGCGTGGCACTGTTCCAATAAATGACAATAAATGACAATAAATGATCTTTCTGCATTTTTGTTCTTTGCCAGCTGAATAAGAACACTGTTTCTTTCTGACCCTTAGTAAACATCTCAGTCCTGGAAAAATCCAGAGGGAGGCATTACTACATTACTATTTATCCCAATAAATAAAATATGCCRGAACCTGCTCTTACACTCCTGATGGCAATTTAGCATGGCACTTATCCACAGGAAGGGATTCTTCCCACCCCAGAGACAGTATCATCCACATCATCTGTTGCACTCATGCTGTACCTCAAACCATGGCCAGGCACTGAGCAATGGAGCAACAACTGGCCTGGCCCAAACTCATCCCACGAACGGCAAACCTTTGACTCTGAGCCACATCCCTTATTTAAATTAGATTAGATTAGATTAGATTAGATTAGATTAGATTAGATTAGATTAGATTAGAAAAGTGCCAGTTTAGTTTAACCAGCATAGTACATGCATCTTCTAAAGACATTATGTAATGAAGGTCTAAAATTTTCTACGACTGAATTACACCGTCAGCAATGCAAATAAGGATGAGAAACTCAGGAAAGGTGAGGTACGAAAGTTACTTTAAATCTGTCATATTTATTTATATATCTGTATATTCTTCCCTAAAAAAACATGCAGAATAACCTGGGCTGGCACTTCATACTTATTTATCATTAAGTCTCTCCTTACGTGTATGCTTTTCCTCCTATCAGAAACCCTAGGGTTCCAACTTTTATTCATGGACTTAACTCATCTTGGCACAGTATCATCTTTCAGAATTCTAACTACAATTTCGTACAATGTTACAGATACACTTGCACAGCTAATGTTACACAGTGATGTTCATATGCATCACACTCTATTCTTTGTGTGCCATTGCCTTTATCTGGAGGCTTCAAACAAGCAAAGTTCTTTACTTATCTCTTTGAAACAGTGCCCAGATCAAATGGTTTCTTTATTGTCATCACAGAAGAAGAAATGTTTGCATTTTCATGCAGTACAGAAGTTACATAAACTATCAGAACACAGAATTAAACCATATTTAATTTAAAAATATCACCATCGTATGTTCTTACTTCACTACCAATAAGCCATCAAAAACCTGTTACAAGGAAGAGAGAAGATGCAGTTTACTTTCAATGAGAATACTGAATTTTCTTCTCACCCACTCTGCCTCCAAGTTTTTGACAGCTGCCAAAAGCATCCAAATATTCTGCTAATAACTGTCTTATCTTTTTCTATTTAAATATAAATTTCTACAATATTGGACTTGAATATATYTGTGTCCTCTGTCATTAGCAGTGGAAACAACTCACTGTAAATTGTGTTTGTCTTTTCTTCTTACTAAATTAATTTTGGTCACTACCACAAAATTACAGCCTGAGGGTAGAAGAAGCATTGGCACTGGTGCGTGGCAAAAATACTGTGTGGAAACACAGGTCTTCTGGCAAAAGACCTTGAGAAAAAAGATATCACTCTCTCCCAAGTCTAAAACTTAGCCCAAGTCACAGACTTTTAAGTCTAAAACTTAGAGAAACACAGAAATGTAACTGGACTTATGGGTACTAATCAGTACGAAAGATAGAAGGTGCTCCCACTGTGAAAATGCAAATAAGCCTCAAAGCAACCTCACAGGGATGGCAGGAACAGAACTGCAGAGAGTATTTTCCCTGGCTACAAAAGGATGCTGAGAACATCCAGAGGGCTACCAATACTGACAAGGGAGACACTATGGAGAGTACAAAAAAAAAACCCTCTTTGCAGTAGCAACAGTAAAAMTTTAAGTTTCTCCTGGGCAGATCTGACAGGAACTAAAAATCCTTTATGACAAGGTAGTGCAGCATGGCAACAATTTATTCAGTAAATGTGTGGAACCACCACATTTGCAGATTTTAACAGAACTGTTCAAGCATTAAAATATCTTAAGGTCCCACTCCAATCAATACTTCTATGATTCTAAGAATTTGAAGTGTAATTTCTCAAATATCATTCCCTCTTTCTAATATGTCCACAACATTATGACAGCTACTTGAAGTTTAGYTCTCTTTCGAATGACTTCTTCAGTTTTAGCAAAATAAAATTGAAAACATAAAGATTGTATGAAGCTGAAAAAGTAGGGCTTCAGTCTGAAATATAGTACCAATTTCAGCTAAAAACACACACGCCTTTCTGATCATAACCAGTCAGAAACATATTTGGGAACACAGCATGTTCCTCAGTCTCCTAAATAACTATTTGGTATGTGCAGCCAAAAACATTTCCCCCAGACAAGTGGGATGCCACTGTAAAGTATCAGTCATTACCTTCTGCTACTTGAATTCATGCAGTTCCTTCGAAATGTCACAGGAAAAATGTAAAAAAGCTACAAGGCTAGATGATCATGTCTCTGATCAAATACCAGTATTTATTGAAACAAACACGTATCTGAAATGCTAAGGTCTCTTCACAGAAAAAAAAGTGTAAAATAAACACTCAGATGATCCCTTCAGGTACATTAAAAATAAGACTATAAAAACAAAAGATGTTACTTCTCTCTACAATTTTTGCCTCATTTATATGCTCATAATCATGTCTACAACAACACTGACCGGTTGCTACTTTAGAAGTTGTTACTTTACCCATAGCTATCCCACCTTTCAAAAACAGTGTATGTGTGCATCACTTGTCACAAGGGATTGTGACTAAATGWTAGAATTAACTAAATAGTTAATTCCATTGTTCACATTATTTTCCTTGTAGGATAGATGACTATTTGAAGTTTTTCTCTCCAACAGACAAAAGACTTTAAAAGTGGCAAAGCAAATAATAGTACAAAGAGACAAAGAAAACATAGATTTAAAGGTACAAAAAAAAATTGTCCTGTTCTATTTTTAAAAAAACATTTTTGTTCCAAAAGTTGTGTTGATTGACTGCCTTTACTATATATGAAAATGCATTTTAATATACATACTAAACCATTTTTTCATTTATGCACTGAAAAACTTAAACATACCTTTGAGTAATCATCTGATAAAATCTCAAACGTAACCACTAGAGGAGAGAGCAAGAGAATTTTGAGTCAACTAAGCAAGCAAGCTCATTTGCAAACATTGGAATAAACCTAAAACACTTACACATGCTAATCTTTTGTCATGGGAGTATTCCCCACAGGTGTCAATGCATAATGCAAGCATTAATCTTTAGGAAGATCTCTAATTATATAACTTCATGTGCAAAATAGTAAGTAGTTTTCTAGAACTTTAGAAACATACGAAGCATCTTGTAATCTTTATTGTTTTTGTATACCTGACACATTCCTCAATACAATGCTCAACCATGTATTTTATAGGTGTGGGAAGGTCTGATCAAACAGTTTTCAGTGAGTGTGTGTCATAGAGCTTTGCTAATCCATCCAAGATGACAAAAAAATTACATGAGTTTGGACATATATTCATAAACTTGCACATGCAGTCCTTCCAAGGGGCCAGCACTTCCACATAAGTTCAAAGGCTCACAAAAAACCATAAATGTGAAAGCTTCTACTCACGTGGAACACCAAGGTATTGTATTTTGCCTGGTTTTAAATGAGCTGAGTTGRGAACATTRGGGAGCAGCTGCTTCTRCTAAATTGGTTCTATTTAAATGAGRTAACGCATTTAAAGTTACCTGAAGTGACTCTATGCTATACTTCAAATTAAACAAACTTCTGCAGTCTAATAAGATGTCACCTCAAAAAAATTTAGTTTAAGCTCTAATTACAAGCAAGCATTTATGACTACATTGATTTCTACTTTTAAAGAGGGTTTCAGTCTTGCCATACCTTCCTCTCCCCAGTCTCCCTGAAACCCTGCCTTACAGTGCTCCCTCACCCTACATGACTCCTTGTAGTCCTGAGGCAAAGAGCAAAGAAACACCCCCATACTCTTATTACAGTTTTTATTTTTCACATCACTTTCACACACATCAAAAGACCAGTTCAGCTCTTCTGTAATGAATGTGCTCATCTCCTCATTGTTTTGGTCACCCTGCAACCCAATTTTCTTTCACTAGTCTTCTAACAAAAAAAACCCAACCAAAACAACAACCCTCCCACCCCTCACCCCAGAAAAAAAAACACCCCAAAACCCCATAAACAAACAGAATAACCATAATTCCCTAAATTTAGGCACCCTATATAGTCAGAGCCATGGCAGCTCCTCCCCAGCTCTAACTGCTAGCTAATTTTTCTTTTCCCATTGTCTAGATGGCTCCTTGTTTTCCTCACCACAGTTGTTCTCCCACCAAATTAGTAGCAAACAYGGTGTAATTAGGGCCTTGGCCATCCTATCATCTGTCCCAAGTACTTTGTTTCCAGAAAACAAACAGAAAACCAAACTAGCAAATAAATAAACCAACACCCCCTCAGGAAATCCTCTTTACCCTGTAACTCACCTACTGAGCTTGGGCTCCAGAGAGAAAACAGAGCAACCACACTACATTCTCCTACGTTATTGCTTCACAGAACAGCTAAGAATGGAGCTCTTGCCACCATCCAGTCACTGTACCTTTGTCACATTTGACAAATGGAACACAGACTTCAGCCATGTTCACCCTCTGAGCCCCACACTTTCTGGCTTAGGGTAAATCTTACATCCCTCATAGCACTCCAAATGAGGAGAGAACTTTGGAATYGGAATAAGATTCTTGTGTTCCCCTGAAGCACAATCTGTTCCCTCAGCACAGGGAGCGGAACTTCTGCTCGAGTCCAATCTGAACTATGTATGAAAGACATCTTGTACTAACAGCCATAGTTTACTGACCTTCAGAATCTAAGCATCTTTCAAATTTCTGGGATAACTGATAGGTATCAAAACAGCGGACCCTGGGCTTGTAAGTTCCTGAAAGAATAAATTAAGGTTTAATTAAATAAAAAAATTAAACAAAAAGACAACATTAAAACTTTTTTTTAAGATGTCTTATATACACAGGCTTTACTGTGTTTATACCATAAGTCTTCTGATCTTCCCAAAGCTTCTGTGATTGAAAAAACATGACTCTTAGCAACACAATCTTACAGTCTGGTTTCTGTAAGCAGCCTATTTGTATGCAGTTCTCATAATTACCAGATACATCATACAGAATTGAATAATACCTGCCAGTAAATCTGAAAAACCAAGACCATGCTACTAACACCTACTAAAATATTCATGTTGGGATCCCACTCTGACAGTTACAAAATGCAGCATTACCCTCCATCCTATAAAACAATACTCAAACAATGATGCTCAGAAATTACTTAAAGCAAAGTTACATACATGCAATAAAAATAATCCAGAATTTGGTATTTAACTCTATTATAAACAGATTTATTAGGTTTTCATTTGTATCATAAACCCTGGCAGCAGGGCGYTGGACTAGATGATCTTCGAAGGTSCCTTCCAACCCAAGTCATTCCATGATTTTAAGAATGTCTGTATTCTAAACAGAAATGTTCCACAGCACCACTACCAAGACAGCCATTCTGTCACATGTTAAGAGTAAGCAGAATGTTCAGTGCTACATTTTAAAAAGAATTCTTATCAAGTCTACCAGAAAATACTAAGTCACTCTGCACTCAAGGTTTTCTAGGATTTTTGGCCTCTGTTTGAGACAAACTTCRTGAACTCACCAACTGCCATAATATACTGTCCATCTCTTGATACCTTAATCTTTGTGCTAACCGTGGGCATTTCAAAGTCTTGAATAAGTTCAATTCTTCTACGGATATCTATAAAGGAAAAAAAAATCATAGAGTTAGCACAATTCTATCAATTCATAAAACTCTAATGGTTTCCTAAGGAAGCATGTAGAGTTAACTGAGTGTAGGGAATATCTTTTAAAGATATCTTAAGTATAACTTTCGTATTATAATCAGATTAACACAGTCCGCTAACCCTACGAAGCAGACTAGCTCTGTGCAATATAAATCAGTACTCCAAGGCAACTATGTAACAAATTGTAACATTAATGTAGTAGCAAATACTCATCACACACACAATTAAGGCCTTGTGCAGGGAATTCCATCCCCCCCCTCACCCCTATGCATTTTATCCTGGTTAGRTTTCTTGTATAACACTTGCTATGATTCCAAATAGCCATTTTTATTCTGTATAAYAAGTTTAGGCTAAAATTATGTGGTCCTGCTCTCTAAGATTAGCACAGCATCAAGTAGTTTACAGTCTGACTTTAACATAAGCTATACATGGAATTCATCTATCATGTTTCCATTACAATCCACAACCAACTACWTAATGTCTGAAATTTAAAACACCATTGTAGTATTCTGTTCACATCAAGCTATGTGAGAAGTTGAAATAGCTATCTGTAGTCTAATTCTCTAGTTTTAAAATTATGACTCCGGGACAACTTCTTTGTATCAGTCAGTGAGGAATCTCCTGTGGACCTGTTTGTTGTGTATGTGGAATAGCTGAGTATTGCTGAGCAGCCTGCGAGGGGAAAACTCACCCACATCTTTCTTCTGTAAAGCTCTTTTCTTCCTGTCAGAGAGCCACTGCAAGGAAAGGTATACATCAGTCTTGAGCTCATTATTCACACAGGAACCCGAGGCTCACTTAAAATTTATTCAGGCATTTCACGTATAMTACATTCAGGCCACTATTTCTTTTTCTTCATAATTTTACAATTTACATTCCACCGATAAGTTAAACCATTCCACACCAAGAAAACTTACACGGCCGTGTTGCTTACGGGTCTGTGGAACAGCATCCCTACAGTCAGAGGTTCACGCATTTATATCGCTTTTTTAGCTACGAAACACTTGGAGCTGTTTCGCGGTGACGATCCCCAGCCCAAGCGCACATGGACCGGGGCAGCTCAGCCCGGCCGGGCCGGGAATCGGCCCCAGCGCCGGCACCGCGCGGCTCTAGCTCCCGCTGAGGGACCCGGGCCGGGCCGGGCGCGTTCCCCCCGCCGCCCTCACCTCCGGGAGGCTCCTGCCGGCGCTCAGGCTGTAGATCTTCACCTCGTTGAGGCTGGAGACCTGCATGGCCGCAGCTGCGCCCGCCTCTTCCCGGGCACAGGGGAAGCGGAAGGCGAGGCGCTTCCGCCGGCCCGGAGTCAGCTGGCGGCGTGTGGGGCC